CCCCCCCCCGGGGGGCCCCCCGCCAGCCCCTCCGCCCCCCGCACCCCCACCGCCGCCGCTGCTCTTGTCGGGGGCCCCAGGGCTGCCCCTACCCCCTGGCGCCGCCGGCAGCCCCGCGGTGCTGCGGGAGGCCGTGGAGGCCGTGGTAAGGAGCTTCGCCAAGCACACACAGGGCTATGGCCGAGGTGAGTCTGAGGGTCTGGCCTCCAGCGGGATACCTTCTGTAAGGGAGTCGTGCTCCCAGTTCTCCGGATCGCTTTTCCTGGAGTGGAGCCCTGACATGCATTTCCTTTGGGGGAGTTTCCTTATGGGCTACATACAGGCACACACAGATGTGCACACTCATTCACACGTTCAAGCCTCCCACCTCCACCCCTTTATTGAGTTATTCTCCAGGGGCCCCTTTTTTCCAGATACAATGCTCTTTTCTTCCCAACCTTTTCTCCTTTAGAAATGGAACTCCTGTAGCTTAGCTTAATGCCTTAATGTCTCTCTACATTTGAGAACCAGTCCCCATTGTGTGGGATTCTGTCCTTTATCTCAGATCCAAGACATTTCTCATCCATACCCTCTCAATCTTTCCTCTGTGATCTCAGCAACTCCTGGACTCCTCTGTTAACTTATTCCATTTCCTTAGCCTTGACTTTTTAATGCTTTACTTATGTATCTTCACTCTGAAATTTCCAGTGCAACTTCAGATTTGCTGGGGAATTAGGTAGTGTCTCCACAAGTCACTTATAATAATTATGCCTGTAAATCAGGACCCATACCACTGAGCTCACACCAGCTTCCTGTGACTTAGTACCTCACTTTGGTGTCTTTTTCAGTATGGAGGCTCACAACTCTGGCCTGTCTGGTCTGGCTCTGTTTTCCTGGCCCTTGCCCAGGAACTGAGGATAAATCCCAGGCCTTGGCTCTCCCAATGTTAAATTCTTTGGAAAGGAGCCAGGTAGAAACCCTGCTTTGGTTAGAAATCTTCGTCTTAAAGATGCCTAATTTCTGAGAAGGGGGATGTGAGAAGGATTTTCTTTGTTGTTTTTGTTTAACCAGTGTACAATTTCCTGTCTGACTTCAAGTTCCAGATTTATAGTGTAAGTAACAAGGAATATATATCAAAGGGTGTGGAACATAGAATTTGAGTCTGGAATTTCCAAGACAACCTCACTTCCGATGGCTTGGCCAGGTCCTGCTTGACCTGGAATTGACTATACCTTTAACTTTTTAGTTTAACAATAACACAGAGAAAGGTTGCAGGGTTTTCTCTATAGACAATAATGACCTTTGGGCCAGGAAGTGTAGTGAAAAGAGCAGACACAGGCTTTAGAGATCTCTGTCACTTACCAGCTATGTCTTTGGGGATGGGACTTAACCTCACTGAGCTTCAGTTTCCTTAAAGGTTATGATGGATTAACTGAGATATTGCAATTGACACAAAATGAGTATTTAAAAAATAAGATTATCATCTAAAATTTGTTGGTTCATACTTCCTTAAGGAGTCAGGGCCAGCCCATGGCTTACTTGGGAGAGTGTGGTGTTGATAACACCAAGGCCACGAGTTCGGATCCCTATATAGGGATGGCCAGTTGGCTCACTTGGGAGACTGTAGTGCTGACAACACCAAGTCAAGGTTAAGTCATCTTACTGGTCATCTTTAAAACAAACAAAAAAAAGTGTCATTTTCTCCCAGTTTTTTTTTTTTCCCTCCCACTCTGATGGTGTAAACCCAAAGATTCCAATGAAAACAGATTTTTTTAGATCCATTTTGGTTTATGTGCTTAATGATTCATTTCCCATGAGTTCCCTTTGTTTTTCATACAATTTGAATTCCTACTATGGGGCAGGCACTCTGTTAGGTGCTAGGGATACAAATGGATATGATTCTTAAGTTCATCATGAGGAAATATAGTTATTTTTCCAGTTTAATTTCTAGACAAGGCTATGTGATGGAACTGCCATTAGCTACTACCCTACTGCTTCAGGTCTCTTTATGTTGAGATCAAGGGAAGGTCTTTGCTTGTGGGCATAGGAGTAGCTAGGAGTGGTCACCCTAAATCTGAAGGCTTCCTCTTGGAAACTTACATTTATTAAAATTATAGAGGTGTATACCCTTTTTCTTGTCTGTGTTACCTGGAGAGCCTCTCTCTGGTTTGGCTTATAAACTGGGTATCCTGTAAAAAACCTTTTCATTTCCTCAGAAAGGATGAGGGAACAAGGGGATAGTGCTGACAAAGAGCAGTCAGTCAGTCTTCAGACTCTGTGGTGATTCTCTCCTCCAACCTCCCTCCCATCACAGTCCTTCTCATTATTCTTGAGATTCTCATTTCCAGTCTGGGTGTCCAGCCAGTACTTTAGGAGAGTTTGGCAGATAGTTCAGCTTCAGGCAAGCAGAATCTCTGCTGATTTGGCTCAGATATTGTTCACCACATGGAATCACTTATTCTGCTTCGATTAATAGGCAAAGCTGCCATTGGCATGTACCCACATACCCTTGTGACTAATGACATGGTATTTGGGGGATGGCTCTGTTCCCCGGAATACAATTTACTTTGGTCTTTGCCTAGACCATTTCCTTTACTGAA